GAAGTTTCTTGGCCACAGCACTGACTGCAATTTCCAAAGTGTCATCTGTGTTTTTGAGTTCTTCCATGTATAAAGAATCCAACAGCAGTTTCCTTCAAGGTTGAGTAAGTCTGAATGTTTAGGGGGCTGTAGCCACAAGATTTGGCAAACCATTCACTTGTCATGTTAATAAAAAAGGAATTGTTTCTGCCTCTTTAAGCTAGTAGCTAAATGAAGGAGTTGGATCAACTGGATTTTAATCATAAAGTCCAGATTCTTCTTGTTTGCAAGTCGATAGCTTCATGGTGTTCAGGCTTTTCATCTGGTTTAATGTTATTTAGAAGAAGAACTGAGTGTCTTCCATGTTAGCAACCCTTGAATTTGCTTGCTTGTTATGCTGTTCAAACCTAATCTGTTATCTTGATCTGAAAATGAAAATTGAGCCTTTCTGCACTTTCTATTTCCCATGAGCAATTGAGTTGAAAAGTGGGGTGGTTTGAGGTGGTTTTTTTTTAAACTCTTTAGGGTGTTTTTTATAGATGGCATGTTAGCTTTGAGGGCTGTTTCATGTCTGGTAAAAGCTTATACCTTGCATAATCTATAGCTTTTAATGCATTTTGGTTTTCAGCTCGAACAAGAGAAGAAATACGACAATATTTCATGGTCAGATTATTTTTTACTTGGTGCTGCTGATTCTGTAAGTCCAAATGTTTGGGCTTAAAATTTGATTTCCTGAATTCCTTAGTCTGAAAATGTAGAAACTTCGAACACACTGTAGTACAGCCTGAAGATCTGTCTTGCTTTCATGATTGCTTTTCCTCTGCCACAGAGATTATAAGGAACTAGATCAGATAAATGGTTATATTATCTGTGGAATGCAAAAACACAGGGTAGATAATATTTAGTCCTGAAAACAGCTTTTCCCCACTCTTTTTCTCATGATCTGTGTTAATGTTAAGAAAGTGTCATCATTGGCAAGCCCTGATTAATGTTGGGTTGCAATGCAGAGATGTAAACCATGATAAATATCAGTGTAATTTAGCAAAAGGTCTTCTTGTTACTAATTAGCCCCATTCTCTGTATCTCTCTGAAGAAAGACAGATACTTTGGGGGTTTTCTCCTTGCCTTCAGCTCTTGGGGTGACTGGGGAATCCAGGCACTCACAGGAGGCCAAGATGGGTGTTGTTTCAGGAATAAGGAAAGTTAAAAGTGAAATAATCAGATCTCTGGTCCCTATAAGAGAGTTTTGTTTGCATGGGATGACTTTGGACAGAAATTTAGGGTCTGTGTTACTACAGATTGGCTGAACTGTTTAAAACAGATTTATATTAGATATTAGGAAGAAATTCCTCCCCGTGAGGGTGTTGTTGCACTGGCACAGGTTGCCCAGAGAAGCTGCTCCATCCCTGGAAGTGTTCAAGGCCAGGTTGGATGGGGCTTGGAGCAACCTGGGCTAGTGGAGAGTGGCCCTGCCCATGGCATAGGATGGAACTAGATGGTCTTTAAGTTCCCTTCCAACACAAACCATTTTGTGATTCTGTGTGTCCATGATTTTGGCCATTATTCCCTTCAAGATTCCCATCAGGTTTTCGATAGAATCCTGCAACACACTGTGCTGTCAGCCTGGAGCTGGAGAGTACTTTGCCTGTCAAGCAGTTCTGTTGAAATAAAGGGAAATACTGAAATCGGAAGGGCTGAAAATGAGCAAATGCAGAGGATGGTGAATCCATCCAGGATGACCTGTGTGGGACTAGCTCAGCGAGCCAAGCGGAGCTGCCTCGTTCCTGGCAGCTCTGAATTGGACACGGTGCTTTGTAAACAGTAAATCAATGCAGGTTGTTTCTGTGAGTGCGTAAAAGGTGTGAGAACTGTAATTTATTTTGTAATAAATACTTGTGCTGAGCAAACAGTGAATGCAGCTATTAGAGACTTTCTGAAATAAGTGATTTTAGGCAGCTGAGTGCCAACTACTGATGTGGTAGTTGAGCTCTTAAAATGAAAAGCCTGAATTCCTTTTGAAGATTCTCCTGAATGCTGTTGACACTTGTGCTAGGAAAGAATACAGAGTAATTTAATTCATTACTTTACTTAAAGATAACGTTTATGGTTGCAGCATTAGCCTCCATTGGTGTGCAGACTGCGAGGCTGGAGGTTTTGCTTGAATATTTTTTGGAGAGGTTTCATCCTTTTATTAGGTGTGCCCGGGAGAAAAAATGTAGGAGGGAAAGGGGAGTTCAGGATCATTCAGCTGGTGTGTCTGGATACAAGGACAAAGGGACAATTTTGCCCTTGGCTACGGTTTGACACTTCTACTGGATTCAGTCAGAATTATCTGTGAGTGCTGAAGGGCACAAATGTCATTTTTATGGCATCCTATATCCTCAGTTGCTTTTTTTTGTAATTGGCTGCGTATCCCAGTGCTGTAATAGAGCTCTTAAATCCTGACCCCAGCCAAAATGGCACACAAATGCTGGTATTAATACTTCTGTCCCTTTTAAATACAGGGCTGTCCTGGGTCCTGCCACATTGTTTTTCAGGCACCATCTTGTGTTTCAGCCTGTTTTACTGAGTTTACACACATCTTTCTGCTGGCTTGGAGTGCTCCTCTGCTTTACTGCTCTTGGTCCCATCTCCCTTAGCTCCATTGGCCACAGACATTCCTCTGTTCCCTCCCTCCCTCCACTGTCTTCCTCAGTTTCTCAACCCTCTGCATCCTTCCCTTACCTCTATCACCTTCAAAGATGACTGAGGGTCCTTGGATGGGTCCAGAACCCCTGATACTTCTGCCCCTTCCCTCACATCTTTTCTCCATCTTCTTTTCTGCCAGAAAAAAAGAGTTTTCTTGGCTGAACTGAAACCCCTCTCTGCTCCTCCCAAAGCAGGATGCTCTTTCTCTCTCAATCCAAGGGGTTTGTGCTTCCAAGTCCTTCGCTCTCCTCATCTCCTGCAGTTCCAGACCTTTGGCTGGTACCTGGCACCCCCTGTTTGGGAGGAAAATCAGGGATCTTATTGTTCTCCAGACCCTACAGAGAAGCAAGCAGAAACTGGATTCACTTAAGCTGTAGAGGCAGTGTGTTGGGATGGGACATTCCCAGCTCTGATCTGGGAGGCATGTGACATAATCCAGGCATCATTTACTGGCTCCATATAACCTGAGGCATTCACACATAAATTCAGCCTGAATGCATGAGCTTATATAAAGAGGATCCTTAAACTATCTGGGCTAAAAATATTTGTGAAATGCTGGGAAACATCTTTTTGGTGCAGGAGGATGTTCTCTTGCCTCTTATCTCTGTTACAGATATACAGTGGGGTCACTTGCTTGGTCTTAACGATGTGTTTTCCATGTGAAATGCTGTAATTTTCATAGGTGTGTTAATGTTTTGGGTCTGCAGTGTAGAACAAAAGATGCTTCACAACTACAGAGGCTAAAGAGGTGGAAAGTGTTATTGTAGGCTGATGTTCACCTGTCCAGGTTAGTCTTCTGGCTACTTCCTTGGATCCTTCCTTGCCCAAGGAGTGGTTGATAGTTCAGTAATTAATGCCCATTATTAATCCAAGACATGGTGTGCATGATTTCTTCCCAGTTTAAGAGCACATTAGCTTCTTCTGCACAAGAAAACACATGTTAATCTGTTTTCCATTATTGTCCAGAAGGTTTTTTTCAGCAGGCACTTCATGTTGCCCTGACAACATTAAAGGCCGTAATTAAAAATAATTTTCCATTAATTTCTATACATGCACGTTTACGTATTATGATCTTTTCCTGCATTTCCCTAAGTGTACATGCAGAAACCTAAAATACTGTTGAAGAGTAAGTCAATATTCAGTGTCATGATCCAGTGTTGAGTGTGCCAGAACCCTGATGTACTTCAATTAACCATCTTCCCTACCAAACACCTGCATAGGGACATGGATCTTCTGTGGGAATCAGCAGAAAAACAAACCCTGACTCTTCTGCATGGGCAGAAGAAGGGAATTCCAGTATTTCACAGCTTTTACTGATAATGATCTGCTACAGATTCAAAACAAAAAACAGACATTATGGTGTTGGCAGATTGCAAAAGGACTTGCTGGTAAAGCTGCTGTTCAGAGGAGATGAGGATAGTGTTTATTGCTTCCATATGGTCCAAGGATACAAGACAGGCAAAATGTCTGGGGAGATGTAATATGTCTTATTATATTGATACAGAACATTCTTTAGGTCTCTTGGCCCATTTCCTGGTACCTTCCCCAGGTGAGAGCCAGAGTGGGAAATATTTGCCCATGATTCAGCATGAAGATAAGAAAAGATTGACTAGGGATTGGCTGTGTTTGTGTGAGTGAAGTGTTAGAAATGCTGATTTTTGAAGGGTCAGGGCTGGGAGCTGCCACCTAACACAGGCATCTGAAGGATCTACTTTTCCTTGACTATTTTCAACCCTTTGACTTTCCTATTCAGCTTTGCAAAGTGCGTTAAGAGTCTAAACTTAGAGTTTGATAAATTTGTGTCAAAAAATCTCTTCCATGCGTAATGTAAAATTAAATTTCTTAGTCTCTTTGACCTCTTGATTATTTTTTTAGCCAAATTTAGAACCAAACTTGTAGGCACACTGAACCAGAAGAGTAACAGGCTACTTCTGGGTACATGTATGTGGGTAGTTGACTGAAGAGCTGTAGTCTTTGACTTCTCCATATTTATCACTTGTGAAGCACCTTTAGATTGGAAAGATAACTCTGCCCTTTTGCTGAATTTTGGGGAGTAACATCTTCAAAGATCTCTTGAATATGCTCAGATGTGTCTATTTTGTTGCAAAAAGGGAAGCAGGCAAAGGAAGGGGAGGCTTGCAAACCAGTCCACAGAGGTGAAAGCCGAGAGGATTTCACCAGTCAGAAGATGAGCTGACCAGTCTTACTGTGTCCTTTCAAAAAACCTATTGAAAATTGGTATTGTTTGTGTGAACGTTGCAGTTGTGCCATGCAGGAGCTCGTGTAGCAGTTCTCCATGTGATTAACATTGCTTCTGCTTCTTGTTCTCCCAGGGCTGATGAAATTGAGATGATCATGACAGACCTTGAAAGAGCGAATCAGGTAGGATTTGAAATGAGTTCCCCATAAAATTCTAAGTGTGACTTTGATATTTCTTTTTGAATTCTCTTTTGGATTTCATGGCAGTTCTTTTATATGCACTTAGCAGTCATAACTGTGTAGAGTAAGAAAATATGCAAATTCAGGGGGAAATACAGCTCTTTAGGGATAGTCTGTGAGGATTGTGTGCACAGTGGAGTAGTGCTTGCCATATATTTACCTTCTAATAATTTAAACTCTCATTTCCCACTGTAGTTATTCTTGGCTTTATGTTTCTAAATCCATCTTGTTGGCCCCTACTCAGACGTGCAGGTGACTGGTGAACCCAAATTAAAGGGCCCCTGCCCTGTGGCTGTGGCAGAGCTGCAGTTTTTGTGGGCTTCTGCAGACTTTGCTTTCCCCTTCCTTTTCTGATATGTTTTATTGACTTACTAATTTTTAGCAAGGCTTGGATCAGACTGTGCCATGCAGAGAACAAAGAAATGGTAGCTTGTTCCTGCAAATGCTAATTTGGCAGGTTGTGATGTGTCTCTTCTGCAATGCCTTGCAGTGCACACACTCCTGGCAAAGTGGCACAGTCATATGGAACCATTTAAAATAATAAGTTTTAAAAAACCCAAACCCAACACCCAAGCCAAGTGCCCTTGTGGTCCAGTCTATGTTTTGAGGGGATGAGGGAGATATGTGTGGACAGGCAGGATTCACAGGTGACACATGCAATGGGTGGTGGTTTCACAGAGGGAAACCTTAACCAGGCATTTGCTAATCAGTGGGCTTCATTCATCTCTCTGTCAGTTAAAACCAGAGATTACAATCTTAACCTCTCACCTTATGGTTTTATAATCCAGCTGAAGCTTACCTAGGAGCAGCTCACTTCAAGGAGGAATAGTGGCAGCTCCTTCCCCTCCAAGTGGTCCTGCTGCATGTCTCACGCTGTCAGCAGTGGTTGTGTGAGCCAGACCAGGTCAC